ACTTTATGCAATACCAAATTGAAATTAAGTGCATATGCATAAAGCTTTCCAAAAATGTTATGCATTTGAAAAATTAGATATCAATTGTTAGAGAGATATCATTTGCATTTTTAAAATTACATGCATAAACATTTAAATTTAGGTCAAAAACTTAAAAAAATTTAAAATCGAAATATTTTTGAAAATTTGATATCAATTGTTAGAGAGATATCATTTGCATTTAAACCCAATTTTGACCAAAATTCATTATGATGAATTAAAAATTATGAAAATCATTAAAAAAATTAAAATGTTCATCATAACACCTTTTTAACATACATGAGATGAAAAAAAACAAAACATAACCATTTAAGATCAAAACTCATGCATGCCAAAGAAACAAATGAGCAACCAATTATGCAAAATTAAAAAGCTTTTAAGCTTAGAGGTTACCCATTCTTTTTTTAGTGTGGCTAGAGCATCTTGATTTCTTCATTTTCATCAATATTGCTCTCACACGCCTACAAGAGACATTTAAATAGATTTTGGTATCCAAATTGCTTTGGATCCTTGAGCGTTAGTTTCAATGCCCCTTGTTTCCTTAGGAACCCATACTTGTCTAATTTTAAAAGATTTTATTTTCTTTATAGGACAAGCATGCTCCAAATGACCATGAAAATGACAATGTGATCATTTTTGCCATTGTTAAACATAATGAGCTGTTTTTAGAAATTAATTCTTTTTCTTTTGTTAACCTCTCAAGCTTAACTTTCAAATCAAAATTTTCTTTCTCTAAATCATTTATTTTGACTTTTGAAAGCTTTAAATCATTTTTCAAAATTTCATTTTTATTTTCAAAATCAATTTTTGCTTTCAAAACCAAATCGTTTTCAACCTTAAATTAATTTCTTATATTTGGAATTAATGGTCTCAAATTCCAAATACAACTCATTATAAGCATCTTGTAACTCATCAAAAGAATGTGAATTTAATTCATTTGAGTTAGAAGATACCATAGAAGCTTCTTGGATGGCCATGAGGCATAGGTTGGCTACTTCATCTTCATCATTGGAGTAATCTTCATCACTCTAAGCTGCCACAAATGTCTTTTTCTTGCTTGATCTCTTCTTATTTAGGAGAGGACATTCATACTTGACATGCCCCATTCTTTGAAAATTGAAGCACACAAGGGATTCTTCTTCTTGGTCGATTCATGCTTTACTTCCTTGAAAGACATGAATCTCTTGAACTTTTTGAAGATCTTGGACATCTCCTTTTCTTCATCATCGTCTTCATCCACCACTTCATTTTAATCTTGATAACTTTCATTGGTGGACTTGAAGGTAATGCCTACCCCCTTCTTCTTCTTATTTTGCTTCTCTTCATCTTCTTCCTCTTCCTTCACCATCAAATCATGAGTGATAAGAGAGCCATTCAGCTCATCGAGAGTGAGAGACTTTAGATTCTTAGCCTCAATGATCGTCGTCTTCTTCGATTTCCAAGACTTTAGAAGAGAGTAGATCATCTTATTCACAAGCTTCTCATTAGGGATTACTTCTCCAAATCCCTTGAGACCGTTGACAATCAAGGAAAATCTATCCGCCATAGCTTTAATGTCTTCATCGGGTTTCATCTTGAAATTCTCGTAGCTATGGTTGAAAAGACTTATCTTGGTTTCCCTCACTTCATCGGTTCCTTCATGAGTGACTTAGAGTTTATACCATATATCCTTGGCATTGGAACAAGAGAAGACTATTCCATATTCATCCAGGCCTAATGCACAAAAGATGATGTACATAGCCTTAGCATTGAGTTGGAACTTCTTCTTTTCTCCATCACTCCAATCATCCATCTCACCGAGTGGAGTGGAGTAACCCTTCATGATTGAGTTCCAATCTCATAGATCGTTGGCTTGAATGAAGAGCATCATCATATTCTTCCAATAGGCATAATTTGCTCCATTGAAATAGGGTGGCTTGTTGACCGGTTGAAAATCTTCCATGTAATAAGCACCGGAAGTTGAAGCCATCTCTTTTCTGGTTACGTCGGGAATCAATAAAGGTTCTTCGGGGATCGTCTCAAGGATGTGAAGCCTTCTAACGAGTCAATCTCTGATACCAATTGTTAAGATTTGCGAAAGCTAAAATTAACAACCGAAAAAGTTACAAGAGGGTGAATTGGCAATAATTTGTTTATGGAGTAAGGAGAGTAAAAGATAGAGAAATTTGGCACAAGGATTTATAATGGTTTGACTTATCAACCAAGTCTACTTCCACTACCTAATCTCATCACTTAAAATTTTCCAACAAATTCACTAATTTGTTCTTTCTTTTTCAAGGATCAAGAGATAACCATTACACTCCCTATCTTTTCACTTGGCTAAGATAGAACCAATTATCTTTTTCAAAAGGTAAAAAAAAGTAAACAATAAAACCTCTCAAAGGTAGGGTGTTTACAAATTTAGCTCACTGAAACACTAATATTTACAAGAGAGATAAAATAAGATTGGAAAACTCTTCTCTTGTGTTTGAATGCTTGGATAGGTGTTCTAACCCTTCTTCAAGTGTATTGAACTTGTATTTTTATGTTGGAATGAAGTTGTAACTGTTTCTAGCCATTGGGATGATTTCTAACTGTTTGGGATGAAATCTCTGCAAAATAAAACTTCCTAGTACAGAGGCTATCGATACTCCTAAAAGGAGTATCGGTACTACATTTGTTATTTTTAAATCAACTCACTGTTACTAGTTGTTGGGGCCTGATGGTACCGATACTACTATGTAAAGTAGTATCGGTACCCCTTTGGGTATCTATACCATTTTTACATTCTAGAATTTGAGCATTGCTGATAGTATCGATACTTCCCTTACCTTTGGTATCGGTACCATATGAACAATATCAATATTGTTCATGAGGTATCGATACTGTAAGAACAATATCGATACTTTTTGTACGTGAAAATCATTTTGTGCTCAAATCCATTTTTAAGGACTTTGAATTATTTTTGAAAACTTTAAAGTTAATTCAAGTCCAAAAACATTTTGCCTTAAATTGTTATATCAAAAATATAGTTCAACAAATATAAAATGAGAATAAAAAATATATCATTCTACTATTTATCTAATTACTAAAACTAGATAATAATAAATAAATAAATTATTTGTTCACTTAGACTTAATTATTGGGTTAAAATCGAGTCAAAGTTCGGTTCGAATCGGGTATGGGTAAATTAAATTTAGGTTGATTTCAATTTGGATTATTTTCGATTCGGATTGATTTTGGTTTGGGTTGCTTTCGGTTCGAATTACTTTCAGTTTGAGTTGGTTTTAGTTAAACTATAATTCGAGTTAGTTTCTGTTGAATTTGGTTCATTTCAGGTTTCGGATCAATTTTAAGTTATCATATTCGGGTCTATATCGGGTCTCGGTTAGGGTAAATCAGTTTGGGTAATTAGGTACGAATCAAATTTACCAGGTCTATATCTTGATACCAATACCGTGGTATCGATACCAAAAAGCCTATTGGAATTTTGGTATCAAGACTGGCATGTTGGTCTCGAGACTAGAAGGGGATTTGGCTAAAAATCAAGTGTTTTGAGCTTTAAAACAATAACTTATAATTTGTAAAATTACTCAATAACACTTATGATTATTTTTCACACTTAAAAACACTTTAAAATAGTTTATGAAAAATTATTTTATAAAATCGTAAAATGCAAATTTTAACAACTTAAATTATTTAAAAATTCATGTTATATCAAAATCAAAGTGTGATTCAACAAAATTGATTAAATGTACAAGTATTGAGATCAAATATGTAATTATATTAATTTTTTTTACTGTCACGTAAACACTTCTATTAAATGTATGTTAACGGCTAGTGGTTATATTGGAACCAATTAAATAGTTAAGTGGTCTTATTGACTCAATTTTGAAAATAGTGGTCATTGACACCAACTCTATAATTGAGTAGCCATTCATATAGTTTACCTTAGATTTTAAAAGTAATTTTTGGGTAAACAACATAAATGACCATCAAACTATGGGTTTCGTCTCGAAATGATCACTATTTTCAAATTTGCATCAATATAACTATTGAACTATTTAAGTAGTTTCAATATAGCCATATTTCGTTAACATTTAATGGAAATGTTTATGTAGTAGTTAATAAAATTGGTATAATTAGGGTGTGAGTCCTTGTAAAGTTACGTATTCGCTACGCATGAACCTTATTTTGTTTTCTTCCATTTTGATCACTACTTGTATATGATTTGTTTCCTTGGATTTTCATTTAATGCAATTTGATCATGATTCTTTTTTTAATTTGTCTAATACCTTTATTTAAGCATTAACTTTAGAATTAATCAATTTGGTTACCAAAATTAACTTTAATTCTTAATTTTTAATTAGGACATAATTTCAATTTAATTTAATAAATTTATTTCTCAATCAAATTGTGACACATGTCACAATCTGATTAGATGGTTTTTTAATTTTAATTTAAAATTTTTTTAATCCAATCAAATTGTGACACTTCCATTAAATTTATTGTTTCATATTTTTTAATGATTATATATATATATATATATATATATATATGAAATCATTAAAAATTAATTTCATATTCAAATTATAATCATAAGAAAAAATATTTAAGATTCAAATTATAATTTTATCTTTTGATTTTAAATTGTGCTAGTGAGTTCGAGTATAAATAAATTTTAGTTTAATATTAAATATAATTTAATATATAATCATTAATAAATAAATATAAAATAAATATTTTTTATTTATATCATTAACTATAACATATAGAAAATATTTAATTGATTCCTAAATATTAGATTTAGTTTATTGGTTGAGGCTTTGCTCGGTAACTGACTGATCTGGGTTCAAATGCAATTAAGAGTCTGTTTGATTGGGAGTTGTATTTGATTCCCGTAAAACGATAGGTTGTTTTATGGTCAACGAAAAATTTAAAGAAAAACACAGTGAAATGACTTACCATTTGGGAATCATAAGTCATTTTCCACCATTCTCCCGTCCCTTGCTCCACACCGATTCTAAACTTCGTTCTCCCGTCCCTTGCTCCACACCGAAACTTCACTATTTCTTCCTTTAATTCCTTCATTTCTTTTTCATCACCAAAGCACTCTCCATTATTCTCTTATATTTTTTTAGCTTTTGCACCTACCCCTCTTTCGGAACACCCTTTATCAAGTTCACTGAAGGTAATTTTCTTCACCCCATTATCACCCTTTTCCCTCTCTTGAATCGTTTAAATGCCGAATGTGCATGTTCCTGAATCTGGGTTTACTTTCTTTGTTAGAAGGTCTTCGATTCCAGGGTCCAAAGTGGGGAGATTCAACCGACCCAGTTCAGATTTCGGGCTTCTTTCAGGTTAGGGGTTGTTTTGATCGATTCCCTGTTGTTCAAAATCCCAGATTTGTTGTGATTTCTCGGAGATTTATAGCTCCAAATGCGCTTAATCTTGTTCAATGTTCATAGGTATGGTGTTGAATTGTTCATAAGTTGAGAACTGAATTAGGGATTGGGGATTAAGGTTGTGGATCTGAATGGATTGAAATGATTTCCCCAATTGTATGTTATTCGTTCGTGTAAGGAAGTTAAATTAGTCCAGGATTCGATACGATCTCGTGTTAGTTGGTTCGAGCTCTGATTTTCGTCTTGTTTGATGATTTTTTGTAGGAGAAGTTATGACTATTTGACCCATATTTACGTCTATATTTTTCTTATTTTTTGAATAGTCTCAACCCTGTCTCCTGTAATAGGAGTAGTGTGTCATTGATATGTGTCATACTTCCTTGAACGTTTGATACATGAGTAGAAGAATGCATTTTCTGTCATCTAAAAATATACACCTGAGCAGTTATAAGTTTCTTTTTGTAGGACCTTGGAGGTGGTTTGATGAATCTATGCTTGATTGTTGTGAGCCTTTGGAAAAAGTTAAAGAGAAAGGAATATCATTTGGCAAGCTTGTGTGTTTGGCTCATTGTGCTGGAGCAAAAGATGAAGCGTTCCACACAAATCAAAGCTCCTTGGATGACTTCCGTAAATTTGTTGTGAGATGTTCCACTTCTGATGAGTGTCATATAATTTCATCATATTACAGGTCAATTTTTAAACATGTGAGATTCAATTTTATAGTTTATACTTTATACTGGGTATGTTTTCCTGCTCTTTCATTTGTGATAATATTAATTAACAGAACGCTCATCAGTTCAAATGCTTGCAGCATTGGATGTAATAATGTCAGACTTCTTTTTTATCCATTTTCTATTCTTTTCATGTTGCGACTTGTCACAATGTGTCATGAAGCAATATTAAAAATGATATGTGGAGACAAATTTCATCTTTGTATGAGATCAGCTGATGTGATCATTCTTTTAGCATTTTGTATATAATTGCAATTGTCATTGTAAATAATTTGAATCTTATGGCATGTCTTTGGTTAATCATTTATTGATGTGTTTTAAGTCTTCCATTTTGATGTAATGTGCCATGCTTTTGACCATGCTATTTATTAACCTAGTGTCAGTATTAAAATCCAAGTGGAGTTGCATCTTGTTACATTTGCTAAGTGGTGGATAGCATTGGCTATATTTTTTGCAGACGGGCACTGGTCATTTTTCTCCTCTTGGTGATTATCATGCTGGAAGGGACATGGACCTGATTTTAGATGTTGCTCGTTTTAAGTATCCTCCTCATTGGGTTCCTCTGAAACTTCTTTGTCAGTATCCTCCTCAGTGGGTTCCTCTGAAACTTCGTTGTCAGTATCCTCCTCATTGGGTTCCTCTGAAACTTCTTTGTGGTGTGGCTGTGGGTTGACTCTTGAATGTTAAGAGTTCATATAACCAGTTTTATTGTTAAGATGCATCTAATACCAATTTGGCAACAAATATTATCACCAAAACTACACAAGGCCTCTTCCTCTCATCAACAAACTAGTATTTGGTTGACCTTTTTATTTGTGTATTTTTGTTATGCTCTATCAAAGTTTAGTCAGGTGTAGTTTCTTGATTTTTGGTTTAATACATGTGTTAGCAACATGTTTACAGTTTTATTTGGTACAAGTGCGTCTCTTCTTGATGGTATAGTTTCTTGATGTACGGGTGGATATTATTGTTGTTTTAATGTGATTAATCCTTTAATTATACATTTTGACACTATTGTTATTATTATAATGTTATATACTATTGTTGTTTTAATGTGATGTACTATTAATTAAACCTACATAATATTTATGAACTTTTATAATATATTTTTAATAAATTATTAATATTATATCAAATAAACCTACATAATATTAATTATACGTTGAAATTCATTTCTAAAAATACGAATGAATAAGTATCATTAAGATTTTAAACCTTAAATAATGTATTTATAACACAATCAACATAAATTATTAATATTATCTAAAAAAATAGTTTGACGTACTTATAAAAATACAATTTTTTATAAAATATAATTATATAAAAATAAAATGAACCTTTAAAACTAAGGTAAAGAATAAAAACATATCGAATATGTATGCTTCTTTATTAAAAATAGATTCTGAAAATTGTTTTCAGAAAAATTAACCAAAAGTGTAAAACATTTTACAATGTACCATTCAAACACTGGAAAATATTTTCTGGAAAATGTAATTCATTTTCTAGATTTCATTTTCTGAAAACTGTTTTCAGTGAAACAAATGGACTCTAAGTTATTTTAGTTTTATTTTTTTGCCTAAACCTGAACAAGTTATATAACAAATATATTATCTTGATAACAAGTGTGAGAATTGGCTCAACGATTAATTCTAAAATCTAGGAGATTTAATCTATAAATTTAATACATGACTAGAATAAAATATTTTAAATTTAATGCTCAAATTAAGGCATTAGACAAATAAAAAACACAATCATGACCAATTGTATTAAATGAAAATCCAAGGAAACAAATCATATACAAGTTGTGACCAAAATGAAAGAAAACAAAGCAGGATGTCAATGTCATGAATACATAACTTTACAAGGACCCGTACAATAATATACCCATTTTGTTAAATGCCACGTAAATACTTATGTTAAATGTTGACGGCACGTGGCTATATTGAAACTATTTAAATAGTTTATGGTCATATTGGTGTAAATTTAAAAATAATGGTAATTTCAAAATCAAGCCCATAGTTGGGTGGTCATTTTTGTAGTTTACCCTAATTTTTTTGACAAAATCATTTAAATATAATCTCTAAATGTTATAACACTCGTGACCATAGGTTTGGTTGGATGAGAGGTGCTACACTTAGTTATTAGAGTAATCCTGATATGGTAAAATATAAAGATATAACGATTTGGGTTGGATTAAATTTTTAACCCATTTTATTTGAGAAATATATTTATTTCATTTAAATTTGAATCGATTTGAATTTAAAAAATATTCTTATTTGATTGTAAATTTGATTCAGAATTTAGGATAATAATCTGCATTATCTCAATTTAAATATATATAAAACTATTATTTTTAGGGTAAAGTATTAAATGGTCACTGAACTTTTTAGATGCTTGCATTTAGATCCTCCAATTTTTAAAACTTGCAATATGGTCCCGAAGTAACGGTCGTTAGGATAAATTATATAAATGGTCACTGAACTTTTCAGACACTTGCATTTAGGTCACCCCAACTTTTAAAACTTGCAACATAGTCATCAATTACATTCTAAACCCTAAATTCCAAAATACTTCAATTACATTCTAAACCACAAATTCCAAAATACTACAATTACATGCCCAATCCCAAATTCATAATCTAATCTCAAAATCTACCATAACATACTGAACATAAAGCAACAAGCTTAAACCCTCAAAACATAACCCTAAATGCTAAATTTCCCCACCAATTAACCCAACATAATCAACAATATTTAGTTCATTTTGGGTCCATAACAATAAGTGACTATGTTGGGTTTAGGATTTAAAAGTTAGATTTAACCAACTATAAGTGAACAATACTCAATTCGATTCGGAAAAATTATTTTTTGAATTGAATTGATTCAAAAAATTTGATACAAAATGACTTTGAGTTGTAATTTCATAAACTCAACTTAAAAAAAATTCAAGTTAAATTCAGTTGTAAAATACAACTTGAATATCTCAAAATTTTTAGTAATTAGTGGATTAATTTTTAAGTTTGAGTCAAGTCTCTTGACTCTGTATGATATATGTATACCTTATATGGGAAAATGTGAAGAAATATATGTGTTGTATATGGTTAAAAAACTATTTAAATTAGAATCAAATAATATTACAGTATTATAAATATTTATAATTAAATTTAAACAGAAACTCGGAAATTCAATTCAATTCGACTTGATTTAAATTTTTTAAAATTAAATCAAAAATTTTTGAGTCAACTATTTTATAAACTAAACTGAATTACAATAAAAAAATATTATAATATGATAAATATTTATAATTAAATTTAAACATAAACTCGAAAATTCAATTCAATTTGACTTGATTTAAATTTAATAAACTCAAATCGAAAAAAAATTCGAGTCAACTATTTTATAAACTTAATTGAGTATTTAGGTCCAACATAACCCTAAACCCAACATAATCACTTATTGTTCACTTATAATTGGTTAATTTTTTTCAAAACGGTTATGTTTTGAGGGTTTAGGGTTGTTGTTTGAAGTTTAGTTTGTTATGATAGATTTTAAGAATGAATTATGAATTTGGGGTTGGGGTTGAGCATGTAATTAAAGTATTTTGGAATTTGAGGTTTAGAATTTAATTAAAGCATTTTGGAATTTGGGGTTTAGAATATAATTGATGACTGTGTTGCAAGTTTTAAAAGTTGGGGGACCTAAATGAAAGCGCTTTAAAAGTTTAGTGAGCATTTATATAATTTACCATAACGGCAGTGAAACGGCCATTATGTCGGAGACCATATTGCAAACGAACTAAATATTTAGTGACTGTATTACAAGTTTTAAAAGTTGGGAGACCTAAATGCAAGTATTTAAAAAGTTCAGTGACTATTTCTATAGTTTATCCTTATTTTTATTTAAAGGAATCCAATTGAAAATAGTTATAGAAAAAGGACCGTTATAACAATTATATCTGGTTCCCACCAGATCGAGTTCACTCAGTACTACTTTCAAAACTCGGTTCCCAAATCAAATTTCCATGTTGGGTTTCTGTTTCGTTTCACAAATATGAAATTTGTCGATGTGTTTATTCGATTTTTTTTTGCGTTTTTTTGGGGAATTGTGTTGGGGGTGTTAGATGGGTGGAGCATGATCCAATGAATATAATGGATAATGGAGAGCGTGAGGCCGTGCATCACAAAGGCACTGGAGAAGGCTACTGCTGATGGACTCAATGTTGAAAGTGGATTGAAAGCAATTGGTTTGACCAATCAAAGAGAAACAACTGTTGTATGGAGTAAATCTACTGGTTGTCCTCTCTATAACGCCATCGTTTGGATGGATGCTCGTAGCAGCTCTATTTGTAGTTAATCATTATCGATTTCCTTCGTTATTTTTGTTTGCTGGTGTTAGATTTGTTTAGAAATTAAGTTGACAAGTTAGAAATTTCATCTTGGTTGGTGGCCAATTTATTGGAAATTTCATCTTGGTTGGTGGCCAAACTTTGAACATGTGAATTTCATATTTGGTGGCTAACTTGTACACATTGAAAAATTCTTTGGTAGGTGGCCAAACTTTGAACATATTGTTCTTGAAACTCAATTATAAATAGGCCTAAGTATTTCCATTAGAAATCATCCCAAAAACAAGTTCTTTCTTCCTCTTGTATTCTTCATTCTCCCACTTTTGGAATTCCAAAGAATTCCATTTGTTGTAATATTGGTGATATAGTGAAGTTATCATCCGGTGTGGTGCCCGAGGAGTAGACGATATTCTCGTCGAACCTCGTAAATTTGGTGTGTTCTCTCCTTTATTGTTTTTTATTCGGTTCTTTTCCATTGTGTTTCAATATTCAATAGTTTGACAGGTTTATCTGCTGTGCAACCTTTGGTGGTTTTAATCTTGACATTTTAGGTCAATTTTAAAACTACGTTCGTGTGGGAAATAACCCTTTCTCCCCAACAATTGGTATCAGAGCTTCGGTTGAGGTTATCCTGGTAGTTCTGTTGCTGAAAAGATACAGTTCGTGATATTGAATATTGTTCGTTAGAATTAAAATGCCAAAATACGGATCAGTTGAGACATCAAGCTCTTCATCTGGACCGGTGAGGAGGGTGATGTCAAATGCAAATTTCTCGGTGGAGTTGTTCGATGGATCCGGTCATTTTGGCATGTGGCAAGGCGAGGTGTTAGACGCTTTATTCCAACAAGGTCTAGACATCGCCATTGAGGAAGAAAAGCCCGAATATATGGAGGAGAAAGAATGGGGAACAATCAATCGTTTGACGTGCAGCACGATTCGATATTCTCTTTCCAGGGAGCATAAGTATAGCTACAAGAACGAGACTTCTGCAAGTAAGATGTGGAAAGCTTTGGAGGAAAAATTCCTTAAGAAAAGCTCTCAAAATCGTCTCCAATGAAGAAAAGATTGTTCAGATTTGATTATCAACCAGGCACCAGTATGAATGAACACATCACTGCGTTCAATGAGCTAGTGGAAGACTTATTGGGCATGGATGAAACCTTCAAAGATGAAGATTTGGCTTTGATGTTGTTGTCATCTCTTCCAGATGAATTTGAGCACCTTGAGACAACGTTACTTCATGGTAAGGATAATGTTACCCTTAAAGATGTAACTGCTGCTTTGTATAGTTATGAACTCAGGAAGAAAACCAAGAAGGAGAGCAAGTACGAAGCAGCAGAGGCCATGGTGGCAAGAGGTCGCTCGAAAAGTCAAAAGCCAAAGTGGAGAGGGAGATCAAAGTCGAAGTCCAGATTGGGAAAAGATGAATGTGTCTTTTGTCATGAGAAAGGCCATTGGAAGAATGATTGTCCGAAGCTGAAGAAGAAAGGAAAAGCTGCTCCAGATGCATATGTTGCAGAGCATGATGCACATGACTCTGACATATTATTGGTTGCTTCATCAATAACATTCCATTCCGATGAGTGGATATTAGATTCGGGTTGCACCTA